ATCCTTACATTTGTTGAGATTTTCCTGACATATCACCTTGATATAAAAAGCATCGGAGGATCTTTTTGACCAGAATTGGGGTCGAAGTTGCCCCCCAGTCCGCATCTAGTGCGACAATGACTGATGTCAGGAAGTTGATAAGAGCAATCTTTTGAGATTGGAGCAAAAGTTGCCCCCCCAGTCAGGAACCACGTTCCCACAGACGGCGCCAAAGTGTTGTATCCAGGAGTATTCGCGGCGGTAGAGAAATATAAAGTTTATCGTCTTAGCGTTGTACGAAAATCCAGCACGCAATCAGATAAGAGAGAGGATCTAGCATTTATGAGCACCAAGATTTTTACGTGAAAAACCCCTGAAAAGGGGGAAAAACTCAAAAACCACGGCGACTAGCCGAGTTCGAATGAATCCACTAGTATTGCAGTCGATTACAAATGAGGGCCTTCCTTGGGAGAAGGCCTTAGCTTGATGTACATTTTATAGAGTACATTACATGATATGAATACAAATAATCACTATTGACATGTTCGTTTGGTCGGGAGGACCGGCGGGCGATGGAGGTCAGAGGGCTTATAGTCGGTGGAAGACGTAAGTCAGGAGGACTGTAGTCGGCTGGCGACGGAGAGAATATTAGCCTTCACTTTCATGTCACCTCTCTATCTGCTATGCTCACTTCTATTCTAGACACTATACCCCATCTTTTGAGTCCCATACCTGCTGGTGACTTCTTGGGCTATCCCATTATTGTTGTGAGTCAGGACCCATCATCTGATCATGTTCATGATTCCTCCGTTAAGTCCTCCATAGTCTTGTCCTTCCCTGTTAAGGACCATCTCTCTCATAAGAACGTTAGTGAAATCCCTATGGGAGGGAGTTGGAGTTGCCACCAGCCGCAGGATGGGTCCGGGCTCGTGGCGTGAAGTCCCTTGGAGAAGGGCAACGTAGTACCCGTCAGCCGCAGGATGTGTCCGGGCTCGCGGTGGTATCTTTAATATTTTGTCTCTTGTTTTTTTGTTTGTTCTTTCTTTTTGCTCCTCGTCGTTATCTTCATCTTCTTCCTTCTCCCCATCTCCGTTTTGGCCGCCAGATTTTCACCTCACCCGACCTCACCGTGCCCAAAATCCCTCCTTGCCGTCGGTCATAACACTTGGCCGCCGGCCATAACCCCTTACCGCCGACCACCTCCCCTCTTTCCCTCTTTGATTTGTTTCCTATTGTGGATTTGATATGTTATGAAATATATTTGAATTTGAATTCAAAATATTTCTTAATATACTAATTCTATTTTAGGAAAAGTTCATTATTGAATCCCTAATTTAAATTATCATTAAGAGGATTGATTCAAACTTTTCAATCTTAATCATTTAAATTAGGAAGCTTGCTAATCATCTTAAATTCCCCTCTCCATGCCCAAGCATGCCGCCGGCCCACCCCCTTGCTCTCATTAAATTCAATTTCAAATTATTACCTAAAGCAAATCTAGCTTTAGGAAATAATTTAAATCCTCCCCAATCCCTCACGGCTGAGATCCCTTCTTGCCTTTAATCCCCCTAATTGATCTCCCTAATCTAAGGGAATTAAATTAGGAAATCCTATATCTCTCCCCACCGTTTAAGCAGCCACCGCCCCTCTTTTTTTTTTTTTTTTCCTGTTCTTTTTTTTTTTTCTGGCCGATCCTTCCTCTCTCACCAAACAGATCTTCTCCCCTCCTTAGACCAAGATCTTGGATGCCTTGAGTTCTCCTCTTCCAAGCACCTGCTCTTGCATCAAAAATATGAGAATTTTCTCAGATTTCTGGAGGAAAAATCTGAAATTGTTCTCAGATTTTAAGAAAAGAGGTTTGGAGCTTGCATTCTCTCTCCTATCAAGAGAAACTTCTTTCTCTTTGTAACTATTCAAGAGACACATCTTATTTACATCAAAGGAAGCCATGGATGAGGACGTTGAAGGCATCAAGTAACGGATCTCCACGTCTCCTTGAGCAAAGGTTTTTTTTCCTTCTTTCACTTGCATTTAATTTCTTCTAAATCTAAATTCTCAATTGGTTGGTTGTAATCACGAAAGCTCTTTCACTTGCTCTTGCCAAACCTAATCATTTGTAGGAATTGAGTGTAATCTTCTATGCATCCTACGTCTCATTGTTAGACTAGGGATTAACTTGAAACTACTATTTTTGCATTGCTTTATTTTCTTGATTATCTTGAATGTTCAAACTTAACGCATGTAATCTAGCCTATACAAGATTAACTCCCTCATTGTTTGACTCGCCGTGGATAATTGCTAGTAATTTTAATCCGAACTTATTCTAATCAACGAGTTGTTCAAAGCCTAAGTGAAATTCATAACATTGCATCTAAGTAGTCCTGCATCAACAGTAGTCAACAGGCGACGGAGGTCGGAAAGACTGTAGTCGGTGGGCAACGTAAGTCAGAAGGACCGTAGTCGGTTGGCGACGGAGGTCGGAAGGGCTGTAGTCGGTGGGCGACGTAAGTCAGGAGGACCGTAGTCGGCGGGGGACAGAGGTCGAAAATACTGTAGTCGGCAGGCGACATAAGTCAGGAGGACCGTAGTCGACGAGCGATGGAGGTCAAAAGAACTGTAGTCCGACGACGAAGATTAGAAGGACAGCGTTAGGTCAAAGTCCAACCATTGGAAAGAAATTCATCTTCGCGTAGACGTCCAGCGAAGTCCGATAACCGGTAGAAGTCCGGTGTCGGGTAGAAACTTGGCGAAGAGTGAAGGTTTGACGTCGAGTAGAAGTCCGACGTCTGTTGGTGGCAGAGGAGAACTCCGGTTTCACTTGGGCGAAGTTTCGGTGTCAAGAGGGAACTCTGTCGCAAATTGGGAAGAATTTCAGCATCACGTGGAAGTTGGGCAGAATTCCTACGTTCTCCCGAATATCACACAGAATCCCGGCGTGTTCGGGCGGCAGGACGAACTCCGACGGTGGTCGAGGAGGAGAGGATTCTCCCTTTCCCCTTCTTCTTCTTCTTTCCTTCTTCTTCTCTCTCTTCACTTCCCCTCTCTTGTGAAGAATGAGAGCTCTATTTATAGTTTTTCTGGAGTGGCATGGCTTGTAAATAGGCGTGAGATCAGGGGCGAAGATGGAGTGGTTGAATGGACGACTGATATTGAATCCTTTGATCATACAACGTTCGTCAGCCATTTGAAGGCCTTAGTGATGTCAGAATCCAGCGATCTTGGGCTCGTTGGATTTGCTCGTCGAACCGTTCGATTCAACTATAAGCTCGCCAAAATCGGAGTCCGTTTGATAACTCAAATTGTGGTTTGAACCTTCCAACATTGCTTTGGGTCCTTGATTTGGACTCATTTGGGCTCGGATCGAGTCAAATTTGGTGTCGTTGGGTTCGTATTTTCAAGACGCTCAGTTTGACTGTAGGTTTGCTGCTCCCGGATTTAATTTTTGAAGTTTCCAACTTGATTTTTGCCTCGAGATTCGTGCCCGATCAAGATAATTTTTGCATGACGTATCAATGTCCATTCATACATTCATTCTTGTTAAAGGCTACATTGGGTGTAAACTAAAATTTGGACAAGTTACACAACTTCAAACTATGTTAACATCATTTTACCCCCTTCCCTTCATATTACACTCTTGAATTATACCAATTCATTTTGTTTGTGTATTTTTATTCTTTATTATAAATATGCAAATCATCTTTAGTAAATAATTCTTAAGCTTCTTAATCTTAGTCAACTAGCATTAACTTTAACACTAATGCTATAGTTAATCCTCATTCTTCTACATAATAAACAAAAGATGCTTACGCTTAAAAAACATTATTTGACCTTTAATGCATGATTATCATATTTAAGTCATTAAATTTCCATCACACAATTTGAGAGCCAAAAGTATTTAGTACTAAGATCCCTATCTTTCAAATTTTTCATTCCCATTTAAATTTTTCACTTTAAGAGATTCCGTCAAAGATAATTCATCAACAATATCATACACTAAAATATCTTACATTGTTATTCTTTTAAAAATACAATCATAATCAACCCAAAAATATAAGGATTTAATGCTTACCCTAGATGCAATAGAACTCTAATTCAAAACTCTTTACTCAAATCACAACTATTTCTAGTATTAGTCACTTCTTTATCAATAACATATTTAATAACTTGAATAAATCTTTGGCATGTCTATTCTCATTAATTATCACCAAATTAACTCTCATAGTACTCGACTATATGCCTTTATGAAGTCAATAAAAATCACATAAAGATACTTATCGTTTCACTCTTCTCATAGTAGTCTTCGCACAAAAAATACCTCCATAAAAATCTTTCCCATTATAAAATGAAATTGATTAAGTAATACTGACAAAATTTTCAAATACAATTATTTTATTATGCACCCCATGACTCTATTTTATGACTTATAAATTTGATTCTCTTGTAATCACTGATCAATTTATGTTGAGAATAAAGTGTTTTGTTGGTTTTGAATCATCTAAATTGAGACCCATCTAAGATTGCCAAATTTTCGTTTTAAATCATATGCAGCTAATGTTATAGCTTTAGTGAAACAAAATGAGCTCGGCAAAACTAGGTCAAAACATAAAACAACTAAAATTTGGCCAAAATGAGTTAAACTTAACAACTCAACCATAAATTCAATATATATATATATATATATATATAATAACTTTAAATATAGTAAACATAAAATATTTTGAAATTTTTATATCTAATATTTATAAAACAAAAATGAATGAAGCTAAACACAATATTTATTCTTAAATGAAATACTGGGATAAGATCTTCATTGAAATTAAAATTAACAAACTGTTAGATACTATCTAAACAATTGAAACCAAGACTTTCAGGATGGAACCGATATTGAAACCAAAACTAAGTTTAAAATCATTTCACATAAATCCTGAATACAGATAAAAAAAGACATAGATTGCCAACATTTCCTTTAAACAAAATACAAAATTCACAAGATGAAACATCGAAAACATGCTAAAGCTTACCATTTCAACAGAATTGCAATCCATGAATTCAAATGCAGAAATGGCCTCACCTAGGTCCTGTTTCGCTTCCGCAAGTAGTTTCTGAAAGCAATACAAGTCAATGCAAAAGCCCAATTATAGCAAAATTAGCCATGGGATCAGCAGAACATTAAAGCTTTAGTAATTTTATAAAGTCAGCTAAAGGTAAAAGCATTGATCAAGATAACATTAACTAGAAATGAAATCAAGCTATCATATGATCCAGATTATTATCATCATCATAACTTTAGTAACAATATCATCTTCATCATAACCAGAGGCATCACAAATAAGTGAGGCCATCTTTACAATTCCTTCATGGTCATTCATTCATTATCTGAGAAAATAATCAGTCAGAAACTGGATTTATATCATTTTTGGTTTTAGTATTGTATGTGGGCAAGTAAGGTAGCCTCTCCACATTTTTCAACCAGGGATTCAGTTAAGAGAATAGTAAACATGAAGAATCTGCACATTAAATTGTTGAGAATATTTAGAAGGCTACCAAGCTATAATAACTTTAATCAACTTCACCTCAGATGGCAAGAACAATTTACTTTTGGATTGCTTAACTAACAATGGTGGAATATAGGAATCACATTTTTAATATATATGCTTAAAAAGTGAGGTCTCTAGAATAATTTTTATAGTTACGTTTGCTTCATTTAAGGGAAGGATTTAGAAAGATTGTGTAAACCAAGACAATGAATCTGTTATGCAAATGAGTATCTTCCAAAAACAACCGTGCAATGTCATAACTCTAAACTAGTGCATCGTCACTTTAGAGCGCATGTTCAACACATTAGAATGTTGGATTGTTATTTTATAATTTTTTTGTTCTCTCTCTCTCTCTCTCTCTCTCTCTCTCTCTACATTATGGGCTCTGAAAATTCGAACACCACTCCTTTGAGAATTTTAGTTCCATATTAAACTTTTAAAAGGCAGATTAGATTGCGGATATGACACCACCTAAAGATTTCACCCTCATTTTGTAAGGATCATGGTTTAAAATTGCGCAATATGAGGCTCGCCTTTGCGCAATTCCAGTAAAAAACGCCTCGATGCTTACGCCTAGAGTTTTTTTTATGAGGCTTGCGCCTCAACTTGGTTGAGGCCCGCCTTGAGGCCCGCCACGCCTCGCTGGCATGAGGCTTACGCCTCACGCTATATATATTAAAACTTACATAAATCTTGAAGTAAATGCCCGACATTGGACTCTATAGAAGAGGACGAAGGGGAGAGAGCAGTTCATCATAATGATGATTCAAATGAAGAACCCCTTAGTGATGACAGTGCTGATAACTTATGAGTTCTTATGTGATATGTCATTGCTATTTATTTTTGGAAATTCGAATTATAGGTTAATGAAAAGAATATTAGGATTTGGGAAAGATAGAATTTTGAGTTGAACTATATTTCATGTTGTTTTATTATTGGGATATTTTGATTTCACTTCATATCTTATATTTTTTATGTTTTATATTATTACCTCATTAGTATATAAAAATTTATCATTTTATGTTTACGCGATCTTTTGATTTTGAGGCTTACGCCTCGCCTCACGAATGAAAAACGCCTCAATACTCGTATACGCAATTTTAAACATTGGCAAGGATTTTACGATATGGTTTCAGGTTTCCCATAGGCACAAGCCCCATGATTAATTATCTCTCCCACTAATAAGTGATAACATTTAATTAAGACTAATCATATCCACCTAATGATTAATACATAATAGCACCTATTTTGTCTTAAGATTTAATAAAAAAATATTTTTTTCTTTAGCTTAGAGAGGATCATGCAGGAATGATGGCAAACTTGATAATGATCCCAATGTTTCGTTGTCCTAATTTGTTATGGACCTTGGTCTACTTGGTATGCAAAAATAGTGGACCTAAAATTAACTGAATGATTCTTGTCGACAGCCATGTATAGTGACGTCCAAGGCCATCTTGTAAACCTAGAGTAGATGTTTATTTAAAGGGACAATTCTAAGAAGACTATAACTAACAAAATGTTTATGTTCTATTAAGTGCACCATATGATTCATAACTCAAAGGAGTTGAGCCACTTGGGAATATCTAGGCACTGGCCTTGATTGTAATTTAATAGTGCTATTTCATAATGAACCACTCAGCAAGGAGCATGGACATAATTATTATTAGTGCTAACATTTGTTAGTAAAAATTACCCAGTTAATAGACACATGTCACATCCTTATTGACATGAGATCTTTTGAGAGTCCTCATAGCGATACACTTGATATAGCATTTGCTCTTTTGAGTTGAGGTTATCTCAAATTTGTCACCTTTAATAAAATATTGCGGAGAATGAATGATTTTTTCTTTAGCTTAGAGCAGTAGATTTCATTTAATTACTTTATACTTTTTTTTGAAAGGGGAGGGGGGAGGGGGTTGTATTTTTATCGTGATTTACTGAGAATGAATGATTTTTTTCTTTAGCTTAGAGCGGTAGATTTCATTTAATTACTTTTATACTTTGTTTTTAATTTTTTTTTGTTTACCGAGATTTAAGTCCAAAGTCATTTACTTTTGGATTTAGGGCCATCTTTTAAAATGTCTTTGCCACCCTCGCCCCAAAGGTTGAAATTTTCTATGAAAGCGGGCATCAACGAGGTATGGATGTTTGTGAACACCTATCTTTATAATTTTGAGAGCTTGATTTAAAAAATGGACCCCTCTGATTATGATGTTAATGACTATGACCATCTTAGGGGTTAGACTTGTTAGACTTGTAGCAGCATTGGTATCAGATTTGAAAACCTTAATTTGAAGATGGATCCCTTTGATCATGATGCATGATTGTTAAGCAAATCATAGGAGTTACTTGCTTGGTGGATTTTTTTTATGAATATTATTGACTCTACCTACTTACCTGCAAAGGATTGAATTCATGGGGCTCAAGTCCTAATCTTTGTGATGTGAAGAATCATAAGTGAAATATATTACATACGATCCAATCTTAAAAGTAGGGTAACTCCTCAAGAGCATGTATATACGACAAGTTTAAGGTTGAATTTGAAAAAGGAGCATGAATCTCAAAATAATTACACGTCCTTCCACACTTATTGCATAAGATAGCAGGAGAAACATTACTCTTAGAATTGTTGGGTCTGTGTTTCTTCTAAGTAGACACTCTAAATTGAGTAGACTGAGTAGGTTTTGGTCTGCCCTCATTCTTTTTTTTTTTTCTGGAAGTCCCTCCTCCTCTAAGTAGCCTGTAGGTCCATTCCAATCCTTCTGGCCATTTCTACTAAAGTAGAACAGTCTTCAATCCCAAAAAGAATTAGAGGTTGTCTTATAATATCCTTCAGTCCAGACAGAAGGCGGTGACAGTTCTCTTCAGCATTTGGTATCAGGTGTGGGGCATATCTAGACAACATAGTAAATTATGCCTGATACTGTGAAATAGAATGATCCCCCTAAACCAATCTGTTGAACGTGTCTTACATTTGTCTCCTAGCTGACATTAGTACAAACCAATCTCTGAACACCTTCACAAATTCTCCCTAGGAGACTTGACCTCTAGATCGTCCTCCAAAAATCTCCTGCAACTGACTTTGCCACCATCTTTTTGCCTCTCCTTCAAAGACATAGGCAGCTAGTGTCACCCTCTTATCTTCAGGACAAGACATACATTCGATAATCTTCCCAATTCTCATCAACTAGTTTTTTGGCTCTATCGATCCACCACCTGAAAAAAAGGAGGCCTCATGTCCAGGAATAGCTTCAGATATTTGTCCATAGAAGCACTCCCACTACCACTAGCATGACTTTAGGAGCTTTTTAATCATTTGAGTCATTGCTACCATAATCTGAGTAAATGACTCCATTGTGGCATTGTTGCTACCTCCTTGAGGATCTGCTACTGTATGTAGCACCCTCTCTGCTTCACCTATATTTCCATTAGTGGCAGCAGCCTCAGGGTTTACAGCTGGTAGCTCCATCACTTCTTCACTTCCATTGTCATAAGTGACATTCTTCTAAGGATACATATCCATGAGATGAAAGACAATATCATAAGTCAAGATTCAAAATTTCACATAACATACTTCCTATACATTTTATGATCTATACATTTATCCTATAGGCTCTTTCATATTGATCAATATTTTATCTTTTGTCTCTGATACTACTCTTGTCACGACCCAACCCGGTTAGCACAAATTACCGGGGTGGGAACTCACGATCGTAACATAATTACAAAAACTTAATTCATTCATTTCATAAATAACATAAACAACTAATCATCCAATAACAATATAGGAAAGAGCCAATAAACTTCTAATTCAAATATCTCTAATACATCAAAATATAAAATCTCTCAAAACATAAAATGAAAACATTACAGTTGTCCCTGACACATCATTTAACACATTACATAACATAACCATAAAAACTTATTTCCTTGCACTACTCTATGCTGGTATGCAACAGGTCTACTATCATTAGTCCTAAACAGGTTTTCCTTAAAATCATTCTCACAAATACAGGTGCTCTAACGCTCAGTAGGTAACAAATATTTATCATAAATTCATAAAATAAGAAAAAGAAGACATTATGCATGCAACTTTCATTTGTTAGCGCTGAAATTATATTTCAGAAGAATTACAAATAAAATAAAAATAACACTTTGACATTTGGGTATGCATATTTTGTTTTAACATTCTACATGCTTGATTTTCTTTAAACTTTTCATAACTTTCTCATTTTTCATAACTTTTCATTTATATTCTTATATGCATAGAAGCATAGAATGCTTAATCATAGATTAATCATATACACAATCAAATTTGGTTAAATATTCATTTCATTTACTCCGAAGAGTCCTTTACCGATCACTACGAAGAGCCCTTTATAATTTTGCTCAGAAGAGCCATTTACTATTTGGTACTCCAGATCATCATGCACATAAATCATAATGCTTTATCATAGAAATTAAATCATCCATGAATTAAAATATGCTTGTCTAAATTTGTTTTATGCTCATTGATGCGAGCAAAAAATATAGGGGAGCCTATATTCTTCGATCACAAAAGACAC